ACTGCTTCCTCTCCTTTCGGCTTCTCCCCAGGGTAGGAACCTGGCCGGGGGAATATTTAACAGAATAGATGAAACGCCAGGGGAAGGGGAAGGTGACTCCACGGGCCAAATAAATGGCCAGACACCTGGGGTGCAGCTCCTCCAACAAGACCACAGGACGGCACCTGAACTTGAGGGCCCGTGGACCCTGATTTTTACATAAGCGCGAAAAACAACACGGGGGGATGGCACCAGCGATATGAATCAGGGAAATATATCACGAAACTAAAATGAGTAGAAATATTAGGCATAAAATGGAATAACTGGGACAAATATTCACTGATGTGATTAACAACATGGGGAACGTACCACAGGTGCAGCTGCAGAGGAGCCGCAGTTGGGAGGGCAGCCGGAACCCCAGAGGCAGCAGGAAAGGAAAAAAACTGGCAGCTCGTTTCTAAATTTTCTCATTACTTTCGAGGCTACAACTAGAACAGAAAGGGAGCGATATAAAAAAGGGGAGCACGAAATATTTGAGACATAACAGATAAATGTTAAGGTTGAAGGAAAGAGAGAAACCTCAGGTGGAAAGGGCAAGTTCAAGCCAAACACTTTATTATTTATTTCTAAAAGAAATGTCCTAAAAATCTGCTGGAGCAATAGACCAAATACCCAGCCAGCTCTCATCAGGGTAACAGCTCCTGGTCAGCACACCGATCCCATCTCTAGGTTATCACAGGACTGTACCCTCCAAGGCTCACTTCAAACCCTCCCCTTGCCGCTTCCACCAATCCTTGGGGAAAACCTGCCTTATCTAATCTGCTTCCCGGCTCTGAAAGACCCACCTTGGCCCTGGCGGGGCAGGTGGTTGGTTGGAGCATCGCCCCAATACGCCAAGGCTGCAGGTTCCAGCCCCGATCAGGGCGCAGGCAGGAATCAACCAGTAAGTGCATGAAAAGTGGGACAACAAATCTCTCTCTCTCCCCCTTCTTCTCTCTCAAATATAATTTTTTTAAAAAAGCATTGGCTTGTCCCTAATGGTTATAAAAAACATTAAAAAGACCCGTCTTGTACCAGGCCCTAAAAAACCCCTATAATATAAACATTATACTCTTGAAACACACCAAGTATGTTTATGTTAATAAATTCACAATAATGCTAAAAACAAGGCCTCATTGCCTTTAGAAGATTCTGCGGGGCAAAGTCATTATTCGGAAAACTGGTGATAAATGGAAGGGCAGAGTCCTCTCCGCCGCGGGCCACTCGGGGTACCCCGGGCCTGGGGGTCTCTACAGAAGCACCCGCCTAGAGGCGAAGGGAGGGTAAACTGAGGGCATCACAGCGCTCCGGGCGCCACAGGAGGGCGCGCTGCCGCCGCGAGGCGCGACGCCGGACGTCCACCTGCGTCTGCCCAGGTGACAGGTGAACAGAGGGACGAGTGAAACGGCACCAAGGACGCCGCGAGCACGACCGAGAGCGGGCGAGTCTCCTGCCGGGGGACAGGAATGATCGACACACGGGCCTCGGGGCAAATCCCGGTTCGCCACCCG